TGCTTACTTCCTTGCGTACGGATGACAGCTGCGTATGAATTAATTTACTTTCTGGTGCTTTCACTTCCAGAGACAGTTGTAAGCACTGTGTAACTGCCTCGAGGGTGCTTGACCATTTTAACACAACGTGATGGTTAGGGGGGGGGGGGTGCTTAAGACTCTAGCATCAGTAAACCTTCCATTTTATCTTTACCGGTTGCTTGTGCAACACCGTCGTGTTTCGCGAAATCGGTACATAGCGACAACCTTCAAGTTGAAAACAAACCGCCATGCGTCGGCCCTAGTTTCGGATGCACCCCCCTTCCATCTCCGCTGCGGTTAGGGTACACATCTCGTCTGCTTTAGCAAAGCAAAGCAAAGAAGTCGCTCATGGCGACTTAGGCTCTCCCGTAGGAAACATGGCGGAAGGGTTCGCCCCAAGGTCATCGTAGCGGTAACACCGTTACCGAGGGCGGGCAGGTAGGTTTCTCCGTTGACCATTTGGCAAGGAGAGAGTACTCAAAAAAAAAAAGTGAGCAGCGTGGTCGGTGCCACAAGTGGTCCGCCCACCGCACATGACAGCAAGTGGCACGTGGAAGAGAATCCGTGTATCCCATCATTGATGATCTCCCGCATTTCGGCCGTTCTCGGAACGCTTCCAAGGAACGGCTCTTCCGATGTACAGCACACTCTTGAGTGTGTCCGCATGGACCGTACGCGCTCAATAATGTCTCTCATCCACACGCATGTTGGGTCTGCGTGTGGGGAGGAGATTCTTTCTGCGTGCCGGAGGCGAAGCACAGCGTACCTCTTCTCTTGGCACAATGTCGATCAGGAAATCGTACGTATCGGTCTTGGAGACGGCCATCGCTATGTCGTTGCGCTGCAGTGTACGTCGTTTGTTCTCCGCCGTCAGAGAGTTGGCCCGCATGGCCATCTGAGCACCAAAAAAAAAAAAAAACGAAACAAAGAGGTATCAACGAACAAAATATCGATGGATGTCTTCCCCAAAACCGAAAAAAAAAGAATGAACAGCAATAGTCTTGTATAGCAATGAAAATTCATCTAAAAAATACAATCAAGTGGATATTCAATGAAAATCTTACACCATGCGCTCTCGTTGAGTCTCCCCCCAAACCAAAGGAAAAACTTAATACTCAACTGCTTCGAAGTACACAACAAAACACACACACCGAGACGTGTTATCCCTCCCCCACTGTCACCAGCCTCGCTCCCACCTCAAGTATGAAGATCTCGCAGGCTTTAGCGATGATAATCGGCGCTTCTGCCGCAATCATGAACCGCGGAGCCCCCGCCTCGGCGATGTCATCTTCCAGCCGCATGATCTTCTTGATGCGGGCCAGGGGCAGTTCGTGGTTCTTGAAGTCCTCCTGATAAAAACAATAGACATGAGAACCAAAGTACCACGGAGATAGTCACTGCTGGCTGTCCAACAACAGTTTCGTTCTGTAGAAATCAGGCCAAAACAAGAATTAAGACAGCTGCTGCATGTACATACGGTTGAACCGCATGTACGATGCCGTTCATGACTGAAACCCGCTTTCACAAGTATTAAGCAGTATACCGTGAACGAAACACGTACCGAATACCCCCGTACCTCCACCCCTACTACGCCACAGCAGCAGCAGCAGCAGCAGCAGCAGTAGCACAAGCACCACTGTCAGCGACAGCAACAGCACCAGCAACAGCACCAGCGGTAAAGCAGCTTAAATTCACGCACCTTCTCTGGGTCTATCTGCGTCATCTCCGTCTCGACTTCGTTCCAGAAGTCGTTGATGCGAGCCTGCTCCCGCTGTATTTGCGCCTGCTGCAGCTGCAGCTGCTGCATCGGCGTCGCGCCCCCCACTGCTAGCGCAGCCCATCATCAGATCACAAATGAGCGGCAAGTGGGGCAAGAAGGGGGTCAGCGCAGTGCAAGCCGTGATGCTAAAAGGAAAGCTTTCGCAACACAGCAAGCAGCGACAATGGTAAGTAGCATGGACGGGGGTACGGCCACGCAAGCACGGTGACCGGGAGGTTGAGCGCGTTTTCTCGGCGCAGCTGGGGCGCACGCCCTCGCAGAGGCGGGGCGATTCAGAAAAAAAGCGTTGGATTTACGGAAACCCACGAAAAGACGCGCGGCGTCTGCGAAACGATGATTTCCGCTTCCAGCGAAGCCTCTGCTGGTGACGACTACCTTTGAATACGTAGCAAACTGGATGTTGATATCACCAGGCACACAACAAGGAGCTCCCCCACTTCTGGCTAAAACTTTGTCCGCCGGTGGTGGTGGTTGCGGGGGCACTGCTGTCATTGTCGTTGCTGCCAGTTATCTGAGCATTCACACCCAGGTGAACAAAAAAATTCCCGTTTTGACAAACCGACCCAAACAACAGGTTATCTATGAAGACCAAAACAAACAAACGTTGCCCAAAGAAAACAGTACGTCCCGACATTCGCCAAGGAATGAAATGTTCTATGCATGGACCAACTGGAAACGGAACGCAACGGTCTCAAAGGAAGGCCCAACGCAACGAGCACAACAAAGTAGTACACCAGGCCATTGCTTCACCTGGAAGCTGAGGCACAAACGACTTAACAACAACAAACTAGGAGTTTTTTGTTTTTTTGCAACTGCACAAGGTAAGGAAAAACCAAAGCCTCTACGGCGGTATCTACGGCGAATCAATCCTCGCATCACTCTGATGCCGGGGAATGTGGATGGTCGTTTTCTTTTTCTTTTTTGCCTCAAGACATACTCCACTCAACACTCGCACCCTGGAGGCGTGAGCAAGAAAACGCTTGACACCAAGAAATTGCTTCCAAAACAATGAAAGGATATAAACTAATAATACACACCCCAAACATGATGCAAAAAACAAGTGCGACACGCCACGCTCAATACAAACACACAGGTACGTATTGCACTGCTGCAGCAGGTCGCGTAAAATTATACTCATGTTATGTGGTATCCACGGGCGAAATTATCGCGCATGAAAGAGGTTTGCGTTGTACATTAAGCGTGAGCACAAATTTCGTATTGTTCGTAAGAATTACGCGACGAGGGAACAGTCCTCGACAGAATGGACCGCTTTACCGCCTTCGCGAGAAACTAACTTCATGAGGAACTACAACAGGTAGGGGGTATGCACGCAGACCCTCCCTGTGACTCCAACCCAACTTCCCCGATTGCATGCTTTATCCAACATGTTGACCTTTTAAAAATAGATTGAATCGGGGACCGCCGAAGGCTACTTAGTCTACAGTACTGACGGACTCGGGTAGATGGGACCCATATCTAGGGTGAACTCCAATCATACATCCCCCCTTCTCAGGAGCCTGTCATTAATCTTGTTTGCTAGGCAAGAGGAAGACTTCCAATACAAGGGTGACAGATCACCTATAGCATACTTCCTTAAAGGGCTTCGGGGATTGGAGCTGTAGAGCATTCAATAAATAGCGTTAAGAAGCAGACTCGTTTTTTCCTCCAATGACGTGGCATCACATCATTCGAACAAAGCCTTGAGAACAAAATACTGCTGTATGCACACGCCCACTATCTCTGTCGCTCTGCTGCTGTCTGCTGGACTCGGACAAACAAGACGGCTACATCTCGAACGGGTAGTCTTTCCGTGAGATTGCCAAGTCTACTTCTTAAAGAAAGGTCGCCTCAATCAAAACCAGCGATGTTCGCGCACACAACTCCATTACTCCTACGCCGCCTTGTAACTCTGCTTAAAGTACAGTATGGTACGTGGTTGACGTAGGATACCACGCCCCTCGGACAGAATATCGAGTACTCCACGACGGAGAGGATGGAAACCACCCATAGACTAGTCTAGGAACAACGTGTTTTGGGAAAAGCTCTCTACGACGTATCCAACGCCGCCAGTTTCGGCACCACTCTCTTTGGTGTATAGTAGCGGTGAAAATCAGTCGAGGGTGTGTGGTATCTCATGTCACCATACAGCAGTAGCAGTGTCCATGTGAAAGTGTGGTGCCTGCGAAACGGGGAAAGAGACCTCAAACAAAGCCCGCGCATGCGCAGTTCGGATCCGTCGGCAACGAGATGTAGTCTAGCATCGAAATGCGTGTCGTATCTACAACACTCCGTACACAGGCGACGTACAGGTTCGAGTGTAACTGTTGTTTTCTTCACCACTACAACCGCGTTCCGGTTGCAAGACTACATGTATGGAAAATATTCACCGAACACCAACAAGCTACAACTATCCCAGCAGCCAATACGTTCAAAGTTTCCAGCGCGCACGGCAATTGGGCGAGAGGGTTAGGCCTCTCGCCCAACGAATTTGCAGCATGGATTTTTAAAAAGTTGGCTGTCTAATCTGCCCCCCCTCGTTCTCCCGATCCCGACGTACAGGCGACAGCAGCAGCAAGGAGGCCATACCGGTGCTGCGCACGCTTCAGAACAAGGAACGAGAGTGGTGCTCAGCACACATAAACAATGGGATAGATCTGCTTCCTTCCCTTCCTTCGCTGCTCTGAGGGAGGAAAAACGGCAAAAATGTGTGCGTTTTTGCCAGGCAGCACACGACGAGGAGAGCGAGTCACGGGTGTAGAGACGGCGAGGATTAAACTCACCTCCGTCCATCTCGATCCTCCGGTATCTATAACTGTCTTCTCGCTCTCGCTGAGGGGCCGTGGTTAGCGCTGGATGCCGCAGCAGGCTCTCTCTCTGTCTGTATCCGCGCGCGGAAACACGCCTCCGGAACTACATCTCGTACAAACCACGGGTTGGATCAACTAACTGACAACTGACCCCGGACTTACCTACAAGAAAGAGAGAGTTCACCTGCTCTCCAGCTGGCCTGGTGTACGACCAACCCACCCTCCGACCCTCTCACAAGGCAGGGGAATCCTGGCTAAGGCTTGATCATCTAAACGGAACGCCAAAGGTGAGGTGTGCTGCTGCCCTTGGTGCGCTATTGTCCAGTACTGCCGTTGTGAGCGGTATTTAATTCTTTGATACACGACATGACGTTAGACCATAGAACTCGTGAACCCCCACAGCTCTCCAGCTCTCGCCGCCCTTTTTCCGCAGCAGCTGCTGCTGCTGGTGCGTGTCCGATAGCCTTCGATGGCTCTAAATTCGCGGTGTTCTTGCGTGCCTCCCCTCCTTCCAGCCGCTACTGCTGCTGCGCACATATCGGACTTTTTTGAAACGCTACAAACACGTACAGCAGCCAGTAGTCTAGTCTTCACCTTGAACATCGAACGAACTTGAAAGGGTTCGCGACTGGAAATTTAGATGATGATGATCTCCATGATCTCCGTTTGTTTTGTTGTTTTGTGGTCGTGCACAATTGCGACCACCAACCTACCACAGTGCCAGGTAGACTACAATAGTAGTTATGATCTCTTCGCACTTGGTGTAACCCCTTTGGCGGCTTTGTCTGCAGGGACCGAGCCTTTGCTGCCGAGTTGAATGCCTCGTAATCTGTCGGTTGGATTTGGCGTTCTTAGGGTCGGAGAATAGGTCACTGGTAATTGGACCTCGTACCCATCCTGCTGGCTCTCTGCTACTATTAATACTACTAAAGTAGTGGAAAGCGCCTGGTTGCGAATCAGAAAATGCTGGACCTTTCGCGCGTTAAGAATTGGAAGGGTATGTGTAGCACCGCACGGGGGAAAGATTTAGAAACTGTAAGAACAGCAAGACGTGCTGGCATTGTCGTCGACGCAGCGTGATTGGGGGAGATATGATACATAGGTGTGAACGCCATTTTAGGATCGAGTCATTCCAAGGACAAAATCACAAAGCGCTCACCGACTTCATGCAACAGGTAGTTGGGGCGGCGATCTGTTCACCCAAGAAACGATTCCACCGCATTTTTTCCGCCACCTCTCGCCTACGCCAACTCAGGGAGGGGGTAGGCGGTGCTGCTATACGCACACCGTCGATCAGCGGAGCACCGGCAGCAAGGAGAGAACCCTTCTTAGAATCATGTCGAACCTAATGTCGAACATTCGGAAGGCCTCGCTCCCTCTGCAAGAGAGCTCCGCCCAGCTGGGCCGGCTTCTTCTTCAGCTTGGGCAGGCGGCCGATTCCCAGCTGGATGCCGAGACTCTCGCGGAGCTCGACAAGCAGGCTTCTGTTGCCGCGTGCCAGGAGTTGGAAAAGGCTGCTGCTGCTGCTGCTGCTACTGCTGCCGCTCCCGCTCCCGAAGGGGGCGAAGCAGAAGCAGAAGAAAGCACCGAGGAGGAAGATTCAACAGCGGTAGAGGAGGCGGGGGCGGACGAAAGAAACAAGGACGAATGCGTTGCTAACGAAGAATCCTCGACGGCGACCACGGTAGAGCTGTCGGCCGATTCCTCCCACCACGAGGACGCGGGCAGCAGCAGCAACAGCAGCGGTCACGTCCCGCAGCAGCAAGCCGGCGGCAGCGACTCCAGCGCCACCCCCGGCGGCGCCGATGCTTCCTCCTCCTCCTCCCTGATGCGCGCGTCGTCAGTTCACAGTACCAACTCTTCCTCCCACGCCGTGACGTCGTCCTCTTCCTCCTCTCGCCACGGGGGCGCGCCGTCCCCCCTCCCGCGCTCTGCCCGCAGCAGCCGGGAAGCCTCCCTCGTCTTCCCCGGCGGCATTCTGTCGGCCCCCGTAAGAAAAGAACAGTCGTCGCCGCCGGCGGCGGGGGGAGGCGGCGAAGAAGAAGAGGAGAAGGAGGAGGAGGCTCCGGCGGCGAAGCCAGCGGCGGCCGACGGGCCCGTGAAGGTGATGTTGCAAGGCTTCGCGTTGCAGGCCGACGACGACAAGCTCGTGGTGTGCGAGTCTAAGGCTCTGGCCCACCTGTTCACGAGGATCCGGAACCGAGACACGCCTCCGCCGGTGTTCCGGTTCTACGCGACCAGGATGATGCGGATTCTGGCGGAGGAGGTGAGGCTTGTCGAGCGGTCGGTGTTGCGTGTGTCGTCTCCGCGCTAACCGGCTGACCAAAAGAAAAGACGGCAGTCTCAGTGCGGTTGAAAAAACAAAAAAACATTTCTAAATGCCATTAACTGGGACCCCGTAAGGGGTTGGGTGTTTCGGGAGGATTTTCAGCTCCAACAGCTTAACCTCCCCCCCGGGGGAGCGCACTCGTGTTTTGCACGTCGTAGTCGCCAGCCCTTTGACCTCGCATGCCGGAACGGAGCGATATGCCAAGTTTTCGCCGCCCGGGCGACTTGGGGGGGGGGG